ATGACGTGTGCAAACATCTCACAAGACTGTGACTAAGCAGCCTTCAGCAGCAACAGGAAGACATGGTTTTGCCCGCAGCAGTCAAAGAATTTGTATGGCTTGACAACATGCTAGAAAAAGACCTCCAAGATCGAAAAGAAAAAGCCAAATAGCACCTATAACAAAATCCTTCTCACAAAATGCTGTCCGTACTGGCTTCTACGTTGTTTTCAAATGAATGTGCCGCACCACCTCCACCTTCCAACGAAGCGCCCCGGATGGCGTTTTTCCTCGCCGGGGAGCTGGAGGAAGTCGACTATGAGTCGGACACTCCTATCCCAGCATGGGATGACGAGGAGGATGAGGTGCGCCAACGGCGCAACGTGGCCCAGCTCAAACCCTGCGGACACCATGTCCGTTTCCCGACCTCTCGACTTCCGGGGGAAGTGGTAATAATACCAATCGCCTCGACGAGACACAGAAGCAGCAATTAAAGGCTGCTCACAGGGCGGCTCTCCTCCGCTCGTATCCAGGTTCGGTCTGAGACCCTCGTGTGTAATACGGCTTCCGCTCGGCGGATCCCTCTACTGAAGCGACAGACACGATCACTCGATCTACGTAGTGCCACTACACAAGCCGAGCTTGATCAGCGGAAAACTATGCGAGATCGATTTTTAGTGCCCCAAGGATCGGTACCGCGCTTGACTTCGAGCTCAAAAATGAGGTGCTTTTGTTTCCGCAATACAGACCATTCCTGTGGTGCTCGCCCCTGGCAAAACCGATGCGGATGACGATATTCGTTCTGAGCGATGGTTGCAGCGGCACCGGAAAATTGTCTTCGCTGTCTACCTTACAGCAAAGCCACAAGGAAGTTGACGTGCGCGTTTAGCGTTGACTTAGATTTGAAGTCGCCAAACTCAAAGCGCAACGCAGACTTCCTGCGTATTGTCGCCCTACAATATTTGGAACAATACGTAACGCTTGCGCGAACTCTCTGGTTTCTCACACGGGTGAGTCTACGGTACACAATCTCGGGGCCATAGCTTGGGCTCAGCTAATGGTCCTCTGGCTTCTCAAGCTACTGCCGAGAAGCGCGGTGCGCAAGACGACGTGAAGCGTCATGATCCGTCTAATCATAAGTGTCTACGACGTCTGGGCAACAGAGCGCTGAGAAATAACGAGACAAGAGTGCAAAACATGGATCCACTGTAGTCATCTTTTGCTCCGCAGTCAGATTGGGAGAAACAAACTGTACCGGTTTAGACACGAATGGTCGTGATCCACTTTGCACATCAGCGCACAAGACTTAAACAATTCCCACGAAATAATGTCGCGCTTGTGAAGAAAGAATGAGGCCCACGTCGATGATAATGAAAATGAAACAAGAATGCAAAATGTGGATCCACTTAAAGCCTTAACGAAGCCACATCTACCTGGTGATACGTCGAATAAGATGCAAGGGATTTTGAACAACGCTCTCAGCATGAATACGACTATAAACAAGATCGTCAACAGAAGCCATAAACTCAGTGGTATGCTCCATAATAACTTGCAGAGAGCAGTGGATTAAGTATCGACAAGATCATAGAAAAATGGTTCAAACAAGTTGTACACCACAAGAACTACGATCAAGAATGTGACACGATTTCTAAACAACTGCTTCTTGCCTTAGAAAAAGTAACGAAATCACTGAATGCAGAAGCACTGATGTCCCGAGTAATAACTGTGTTAGAAACTTTGTAAGCCAAGCCAGAATTCCAATCTCTTGCTGAGGATTTAGAGCGACTCATTGCTTCGATTCCAAAGTACAGATTGTTTGGAAGTGGCTATTGAACGACAGCAGTGAGGACTTGCTCGTCGGATTCTTTTTGGCGTCGGGCGAAGAATCAATATTGATAACTCTATCTTTCGGGTGTGGCTTGACTGCATCCAGTTCATCTGGAATACTAATGAAATTTTATACGACAACGGGCTAAAAAAAACAATCGAAAACACTCTTTGAAAGTCAAGAATTTTTCGATTGTTTTTCGCAGAAAGATATGCAAGGGGTAGCTTATCGGAGAAATTGGTATCTGGCCGATTGTCTGAGCAAGAAGAGATCCCCAAAAATCGACGTTTAGTGGATTGAAAATATATCAAAAAGCTGCCTCAGACGATGATGAGCTGATATTGTCACTCTCTTACATACTTCGGTATAAGAAATCTGAGCAATATGTCGACACCGAGCTGTTTCAAGTGTTGACTTCCGAATGGAAATATACTGCGCTGGTCGGCCAGTGGAGTACCTCTCAAAGTCTTGATTAGAAAAGGTAGGCGAGATGTTAGACTCAATGATGACTTCTCAAGGCGTGTTGATGGATTTGACGACTGCTAAACCTGAGCAATACAAACAATGCTTTATCGATTTAAAAGCTATGTATACTAAGTCAGAACCCACAAAGAGAGTTCTCCGACAAAACAGATATGGCTCCTTTGTGTGGCACTCATCGTGTTCATCATGACAGGTAGATGGTGAAAATGAAAAGTGAGTTACTGCACTTCATTTCTGGACTACCACAATATTATTCACTCGTTTCTCTGCTCTTATGCTAGACCTCTCCGCTTTTTGATGCTCGTTCCAAAATGCTCTTATTAACACTAACCTAAATCACATTTAGGCTCTTTAGTCACTTCGACATCGTGAAGTCGTCACCGTGACAACTGTGCAATGACGTAGCTCGTTCAAATTCTTTCTGCTGATTTACTAAGCAAGTTACCTTAATCTATTACGTAGTCCACATTATATTTTGCGATTGGCTATCAATGTCGTTGCTCGACAAGTCTCTCTTCAAGAAGACACTAAAGGTTATAGGTGTGCGGGTCGAAGCCAAGAAGATTGGCCCCGTAGTCAAGAGGTTACATGGTCACCTACTTAATCTTCCACGTTTACGTAACGTGGTACCTGATCCAATGAACCCAGAACCGTACAAGAATTCAAGCAGCAAACTGATTTTACTGAATACCAAAGTGAAAGATGCCGAGACACTCCAGCCACTCAGTGAAGATCTTATTAGCTTTCTACGAACAGAAAGTCTATCATTTGTAACTCATGCAATTGAGTTGGATTATAGCTACTTTGCAGTGGACCAAGTCCTTAGTGAATTGCTACCTGAAGGTATAGACATCCCCAGCTCATTCGAGACGGTCGGGCATATTGCGCATCTTAATCTTAGAGAGAACCTGCTACCGCATAAGCACATTATCGGACAAGTGATTCTGGACAAGAATGCTTCTATTCGAACGGTAGTCAACAAAACTGACAACATTGAGACTAAATTTCGTACTTTTCCAATGGAAGTACTGGCTGGCGATAACGATATGGATGTCGAAGTGCACGAAAGCAAAGCTATATTTCGGTTTAATTATGCACAAGTTTACTGGAATTCACGCTTGCAGCAGGAACATTTGCGAGTGATTCGCATGATTAAGTCACATGATGTTGTGTGTGACATGATGTGTGGTATCGGTCCATTTGCCATACCAATCGCTTTGAAGGGGACCAAAGTCCTTGCAAATGACCTCAATCCACGCAGCTATCACTATCTAAAAGAAAATATTGCATTAAACAAAGTGAAGCATTTGGTGACGCCTTATAATCTCGATGGCCGAGAATTTGTAACTAAATTATTAAGTGAGAAGAAGCAGTTCACTCATGTGCTCATGAATTTGCCGGCCATCGCGCTGGATTTTCTTGATGTCTTTCCCGGAAAGTTTGATCATTGGGAAGGTGAGCTACCATACATTCATTGTTATTGCTTTTCCAATGCAGACGATGTAAAAATGGACGTACAAAAGGTAAGTCTGGACGTACTTTTCTTATATCCGATTGTCGTAACAACGTTATGCGTGACCTAGCGAGCAGAAAAGATCTTGGGCGGTAAACTAGATTTTGAGCGAACATCGTGTCATCTGGTGCGGGATGTGGCGCCTAAGAAAGTTATGGTCTGCATTTCGTTCCAGTTACCCAAGTCAATTGCGTTTAGCTCAGAGTATCACGCAATGAAGCAGGACGACTTTAAGCGACAAAAGGTCGAGATGACAGCATAATCAAGCTAATTCTTAGAAAAAAAGGGTTTCGCACAGCATCAAATGAGATTATCGTTAAGAAATGCTTTCATCTGTAGTAGATACGTTTAAGTAGCACGTAACAATCTAATCGACTTTTCGTATTGTAACGCTTCTCAAATGGATTGATGAAATTTCAGTGCCGCAGTATCACCGATTTGGAACGTGAGGTCCACCATTTGATTCTTTTCAACATAAAATATCCTTTTTAGCTGATAAAGCATATCAACTTGGGTGCCATCTATTTCCTAACTTTGAGGTTCTTCAAGATGCCTATATGGCACGATGTTACTGTCATCCAAACTATGCTCCCGAGGCCATGCTAACGCAAGCCAAACATTTTTGGCAGAACCATCACCAGTGATCGCTCTTGCGGTGTGTTGCTGCCACATGAAACGTTCATAAAGCGGAGAAATAGTGTATGTATCGCAACTTTGTGTTGTAGACTGACCTACAGCTACTAATGATAAACCAGTTGCACAGGATATTATTCATCTTTAGATCAATACATGATGTCAGTTGTGCGTACCTCACGTTATTTGTGTGCTGAAGGATGGTTTGGGATAGTAGAGGTAATGTTCTCGGTTGCTAGAAAACCTGCTTGGTCTCGTGTGTGCCACGTATGAAACAGAAATATCTTTGATGAATCGTCACTTTGATCTTGTGAGCTAACATCTTGCCAAACGTTACGAAAGGATGAAACTTTGTTTTCTCGTCACTCTTGCTATCTCTGCAGTCTCGCCACGCCAAGAGCAATCGACTCTGTCATTTTCTTCTCAAACTGATCATAATTTCACAAAACTTCAGAGTGCTGCGCTTTCATCAACTAATTTGCAGGACAGTGACGATTTTTATGTGTGCGGTTCTAAAGTATTTGGCATGGATGGTCGCTATGTGCTGCAGCCACCTGATGTAGTACAGTCAGACATATACACGCCTGTATTTGCCAAAGTAAATCAAAACCACGCTGATGCTTTGACAGATTTCCGACTATATCGACACAATGGTTTCTGGCTGATTGCGAATGTAGAATCGTGGCCACCTGTGACCCACTTTCGATGTGATCCTACTAAGTCACAAGTGTTTGGAGTTGACATTTTGGAGTTGTGCAGATTTGGAAAGCAAGTTCCACCACGCAGTGGTTACACACCTGCTACTCCGAGACAAGGTAACATTTTACTCACATTACACCACCAAGTCTGCCAGAGTTAAGGAAGCTTTCACTCATCCGGCAAAAAAGATTTATGATTGAATTCTGCATTACACAAGGGTTTGCTGGTGATAACATGCTTGTGTATATAAACAGTATCTCGTTATTCTATAGCTAACTAGTCGAACGAAAAATGAATGAACACTTTATTCTAAATTTGCACAGCTTCAAATCGTATAAGAGACAGCTTGTCATTAACTCTAATCGTCTATTTAGATTTAGAAGTCGAACATATTCGTGTTCTTGAGGTTAGTAGAAAAGATCAAACATACAGCAAACAGTATGTATCGGCAAATGGATCATACATAACTGCTACGATATATTCGTGTGTGATACCTAGTGCTGAAAAAAAAATGACCTGCAAAGACGATCAAAGAGTCGAGTTTGAAGCATCTTGGCTTTTGACCAACCCATTACACAACGATTCCCGTACAAGCTATTCCGAATGACAAGTTTGCACATCATGTAATTGTCCAAATCGCACCGCCGTGTCTACGCCTAGTCCTGCTTCTGATCCAGATCTCAGGATATAACAAGACGTATCGCTTTTTCTTTGGAACAATTTGTGATGTGTTTCCGTATCTAATGATACGACCTTATGCTTAATTAAATAATTAACAAGATTTGAACACTTGCCGCGACTAAGGAGTGAGGATAACTTTATTAATGCCATTTGATTTTTTATAAATAAAATTAGTACCATCGTTTTCAAACTTTTCAACTCCAGTACCAAAACAGCAATGAACGCACTAAGAGTAGCCTTCCTGCATCTTTGGTAAACTTTAACATCGAATGCTTGGAATTAGGGTTGAGATGATCCCGCTCATACAGATAATAAAAAGGAGTTTGCAGCTTTACATCTTTACCACATGCATAATGCAGCGGGGCTGCCGTAGCAAAACGCTTGAGGAAGCGTATGAGTTAGCGGATCGCAATCCGCTTACTCCAAGAGCAATTATTGCCTTCTCAAGGCTAATCGACTCTTCGGTTTCAATTCCAAATTGATTTTTTATTATATTTTTATCCTAATTTTAGAGACTTAAATTTTCCTTGATATACTAAATATATAGTAAAATCCAAATACATGCCATACCGTATTCTTGTTTGGATGTGGTTACACCATGCACATTTCGTGTGACCCCCCTATTATCAGGGATCGTGTAACCCCGTTACACCCCTCCATTAAGATCATTTACAGTTCCAATCGATTTTTGCCTCAACGAAGCTCGCGTGTCCATTAGGCACTGCAACTCATTTTGTTGAAATTCAACAACTTCCTTGCTCAATGAGCCCTGTGTCCACAACACGAAAATCATCAAGTCTCGCTAGTTCTGACAGCAGGCACGGGCAGGGCCCTACTTCGTCCCCCGCACGCAGTGCGATGTCGAACAGTGCGTCCGCGGTACCGGGGGATGTTATCCTAGGCTCGATGAGCACAAACGCCGCGCTCTGCGCACGCTGTCAGTGCCGAGTGGCCTCGTTGAGGATGTGGTCGACTATGAGTCTGACATCTCTGTTCCCGCATGGGACGACGAGGAAGGCGAGCTGCAACAGCAGCGTGCTACGAGCCCTGTCTCGCGCATTGCGGACCCCATGTCCGTTCCCTGACTTCTCGTCAACTGAGGAAGGTGGTGTAATCACCAATGACCTCGACGGGGAACAGAGGCGGCAGCTAGTATCAGCCCATAAGGCGGCTCTATAGCGCGCCAATCCACACTCGGTCATTAACCCTCGTGTGAAATATGGCTTCCACCCAGCCGATCCCGCATTGGAAGCGAAGGACGCGGTAACTCGATCGTTACGCGTCCACATCATCGGGCCTCCGGCCAGAACGGATGATGAACTTGCCACACGGAAGCTCTTCGAGCTCGTTTCTGATCCCACAAGGAATTCCATAAACGTTTATCGCACTCGTCTAGGTGCTCAACGAGGTGGCTCTCGTGTAATTCGCAATAAGTACAATACCTGTAGTGATCGCCCCTGGCGAAAGCACTTCAGATGACAAATCGCTCTTTGAGCGATGGGTCAAAATTTTTTTTCACTGCATAACCTGCAGTTGAGCCACAAGGAAGTGGACTTGCGTGTGGAGCGATACCTCCGCTTTGAGTTTGCCAAACTCAAGGCACGCCGTTGACTTCCTTCGGATTGTCGCCCTGCGACGTATGGGTTAGCAACCCCTAATGCTCCCGCGAGCCCTGTGCCTTCGATCGCAAGAGCTCAGGGGCACTGCTTGAGCTCAGCTCATGGTCCGTCTACTTCCCTGGCTTTTACCGGGAAGCGCGGGGCGTCTGATGACGCGAAATGTCCTGACCTTTTCAACCAAAATCATCCTCGGCGACTGGGCAATCTTGCCGAAGTGGCGCCTAAAACTCCTACGAGTTTTCGGAGTCGGGATATCCCCGCCAC